GCAGACAGTTAAAGTGTAAGCATCATATCGGAATATTCTGAAGTAAAGTTAATATTTTATAGAAATATGGAAACATTATTAAAAAGAACATGAGTTTGTACCTCCAGAAGAATACTTAAATCCTGCTTGTCGAGGTAGCTTCTGCTAAGTTCTCGGCCATCAAAATCTAGTTCCGCTTTATATCTCACGAGGGAGTTACCCATGTCAATACCCTTCACATCATGGATTGCTCTGATCATGACATCAGATTCTAGCTCTGAGTTGATTTTGTCCAGTCTTTCTTGTGGGATTGACCTGTACGACAAAACAGAACACTCATTCTGAGATTGGAAATCCTCATAGAAGTGAGATGATTACAGCTACCAGGAATGTGATGCCATACAGTCTGGCGGAGTGTTTCCAACATTATAAAGGAGCCTGCCATCTTCAGGGTAAAAGAATAAGCCATGTGGGAAAAATAGGTTAGTGATTTAGTATGGGGAGGAGGACTGCAGCTAAGAGTGACCCAAGGGAAATGATATAAATGAATGGGATTCTATATCCCTGAAGGACACAGTTTTAGGCAGAAAGAGGTTAAGAACAAACCAATCAGAGTGGTATAAACCGAATGACGCAGGTAGCAGGTTCTTCTGAAATGTTATTTACTAGGCTATATAGTACCACATCCCTTCATAATTGGGATTCTTTATAAAGGTTTGTTGATTTATTACTTTGGACACTGTTGGTTACTATAATGACTACACTAACTTCTTAGCTTTGGAACTTAAATTTCCTCAACACCCTCTGTTCATGGCGAACAGAAGCATCTCTGTGTTATCTAAAACATTTGTGAAGTTTACTCTTTAGAAGAAATTATGTTTTCAGTCTGAGATCAAAAAAATCTGCTCACACATCTGAATTGAGATCAAACTCAGATCCCTCCAGGGTTATACCTCAAGACCTCAGTGTATTTCCTCTTCCCTTCATGTAAACAGTGTAAGCATAAACAGAACTAAAAGTTCCCTGCAAATTCTCCCATGCTCCACAAGGTAAACATGTGAATTTGTTACAGAGGGATGGTATTTTGTCATAAAAATCTGTTTTCCTTAAAAAAAACTGTCCAGTCCTTGAAGTGAAGTGAAGTAAAACAAAGTAAAGACAAAACCTTTTAACAGTGTGAAACACAAAGTTCATCTAAATACATGAAAAATTTAGGGGCACATGGTAGCATAGTTGGTTGAGGCACTATGCTACAAGCTGGAAGGTCACAGGTTTGATTCCTTATGAGATTATTGGATTTTTCAATTGACCTAATCATTCCAGCCACTCTATGGCTCTGCGGTCAACTCTGCCTCTCACAGAAATGAGTACCAGGAATCTTCCTGAGGGTAAAGTATGGTCAGTGCATAAGGCTGACAACCTCACCGCCATCTGCGAGCCGACCGCCTAGAAAATGTCGGAGCTTCGATGTCCCACAACCTTATGGACCTCCATGACCTGTTACAGGGATAGCTTAATTTTTTTAATATAAAAAATATTCAGCTCCTACCTCAGAGTATATAAACTGTGTCTCCATTACAAAGACCAACTGGTTAATGCTGTTTTACAATATAATTGTTATTTATTGTAAGATCATACATATATACATAAAAACACTATGTAGGCAAAACGAAGAAATTTTTAATGTTAAAAAAGGTGGTATATATAGTAAACAGTATGTTTTAAAGGGTTAATATGTACTCTATGTTTGTCTCACCTTCCAACAAGAGCTGCAACATTTGTATAGATTAGAAATGACGCAACACCACCCAAAATGCCTCCCACCAACAACGAACCTATGGCATCAGGAACAGGACTCCCATAGTGAGCAGTCAGGCCCATGCATACACCAGCCACGCCAACACCAATCACCGCAGCCAGATCCTCCATCAGGACTACATTCACGCTAGGATCCTGTCCTCGTAAAACTGAAATCAGAACAAGCAATATTTAGCCTTCCACTTTCTCGGATATAATGCTGTGCAGTCCAGTGAAGCTCAAGTGACATTTTGGAGCAATATGTCTCCTCCATCTTCATGGCTGAAGAGTTTGCCAAACAGGAAACCAGCACAAAGCTGACAAAAAGCTTGGTTTACTATCTGACACTAAAGATGGAGGCAAAATTTTCTTCAGAATGTATCAGGCTCTATGGAATATGGAGGAAGAGGTATAACCATGAGCTATACAAACTACTTAAGGAACCAGACATTACTGGATTTATAAAGGTGAAAAGGCTTGAATGGACTGGACACACAATACGTGCCGGCGAGAATAGGATGATTAAGAAAATGCTTAATACTAAACCAGAAGGAAATAGGATAGTGGGAAGACCAAGATTAAGATGGGAAGAACGTGTGTGGAAGGACATAAGAATTTTGGTGTAAAGAACTGGAAGAATGTAGCATCAAATGGAGAAGAATGGCGAGCAATCCTGAGGAAGGCCAGGGCTCACAAAGGGCTGTCGTGCCAGTGATGATGATGATGATGATGATGATGATGATGATGATGATGATGATGATCAGGCTCTCTCTGAACTACATGGTGTTACAATCTAGAAGACTGCTTTCTTCATAGTCAACATCATGAGAACCTCAAATCAAACAAATCAGAACTTGATGTCTCAGTTTTATTTTTTAGTTCTAAAGTCACAGGAAAATGGCTGTGTGCACACAGAACTTGAAAAATTATGCCAAGTCCTATGTGTCAAACTAAGAATCCATTTTCTACTTAAAATCCTTTGAAAGAAAAAAATTGAAACTCCCCTTCCTCCTCCTCCTCTTCTTATTCTTGTTGTTCATCAACATTATTACTATTCCCTTCGCCCTCATGCTAGTTTACAATGCAGTAGCTAGACTAGACAGTGCTAAACTGGTAAGACGGTAGATAGAAGATAAAGTGGAAGGGATATGAAAAGAAGCCATCATGGACTAAAGTGAGGTGCTATCCTGGAGTGACTGCCGGTCATGGTAGCTGAGCGGTCTAAGGCATGTACTGAGAAACTGGGATCATGGTTTTGAATCCCATTCAGGGCATGGATGTTTAGTATGTGTGTGCGTTTTTCTGTGTTTGTGTACAGGTAGAGGCCTTGCGACGAGCTGATCACCCGCCTAAGGAGTCCTACCGTATGTGTAAGATCTAGAAAAATCAAAGTGGATGGAGAAGTTCAAGGTAGGCCTAGGCCCACTGGGGCTGCAGTGCCAAGGGGAAAAAAAAATCCTGGAGTGACTAGGGAAAACTGCAGCAAACCTCAGTCAGGATAGTTGCTGCCCTGGACAACATCGGAATGGGGAACCTCCCAACTATGAACAAAGAATTTAACTGCTATCCACAATAATAATTCACTAATTAAGAAAATTAAGATATTTTTATATACTGTGAAGGGAATGTCTGTTAAGTTAGTTATTTTGCCACATAAAAGTGACTAAAAATGCTGTCAGAAACCTTAAAATCACATTAAAGGTAATGGTAAGGTAGGGTTATCTCATGGGCTCAATTAATTAAGCATTACACCATGAAGACGTCTGGAGGAATGGAAGTATCGCTCCACAATTCTTAACCTCAGCACTAGATGGAGGTAAGTGGTCAGCTTCAAACCCTTGCCACTTTACCACCAGGGAAACAGCCCCTGATTCCCCTTGTTTAAGAGGGTAGGTGTGGGCCCCAGAGCCTGTCTCAATATTACGAAGAGAAAACCCTCTTGACCCTAAAGCGAACAGAACCCTGACTCTTAAATCATCCAGCTGGTACGGCAGTTGCTACACTGCCTGCGCTACCCTGGCTCCAAATTTCAAGTAGAAATTGTAGAGAAAAAGTGAAGCACATCTTATGCCCTACGCACTTTTTCCACTAGGTCTTCAATTTTCAAGATAAGTGAGGAGAAGGAATTTATATGATGCACCACCTCATAACTTGAAAAATGTTGGACTGATTATGATCAAATTTTGTATTGGAGGTTCTTGCTTGCTCACCCAACTTATTTTACTACTTGTATTACTTGTAGCACAGTTTCAAAAGTTAGGATTCGTGAATTGAAAATCTAGATGCACTAACGGAGCAAATGCTTTAGAACTGTTATGCTATGATTATATTTCATAACTTGTTTGGTACTTAAAAGGCTTTTCATAATTTACTGTACAATCTCTTACTTCAACACTCCATTATAGGCGGCTCAGTCCTCCAGTTTTGCAAAGTTCTTCAAAGACACTAGGTTTCAGAAGAAAGTCTGACATTGTACAGAAAGGTGTCATGAAGGCTGCACCATAGCTCAAGGGGTTAGTCGCTAGTTTCCCACTGCAGTGGCCTGGGTTTGATCCTGGGTCTGCTCAAGTGGGATTTGTGGTGGACAAAGTGGCGCTGGGGTAGGTTTTCTCTGAGTACTTTGGTTTCCCCTGTCAATCTTCATTCCACCAATTGCTCCACAATCACCTTCACCTATCATCTGGTGCTGGTTCAATAGTCCAGAATTGGCCGCAGTACAAGGGACTTGTGGAGTGCCATACACTGCATATGGACAACTGTTTGTGGGGTGTGCTTCCACCTCGTAAATGTTATTCGAACCGCATGCATTCTGCTTGCATATTCTTCAAGATGAAGGTCAAGGCAATCATATGGTGTGTGTATATATTAAATTTATTGATCTTTCTTTGATTAAACTGTCTTGGAAATGCTGACTGTAAATCAGCTGTTGGTAGAAGTGGCAGTGGCTAGTAAACATTTGCCAAATGAAGATATTCTGAATGCACGTTCATCTTATTCTTAAGACAGTAACTTTGATTCTGATGATCAGGAAATAACAGTTATTACTCATCTCTGACCCAGTGTTATTTGCCGCCAAGTTCAAAATTGAATTTTCTATGGGATTTCCTCTCACATAGGGTTATTATTTAACCTCCTCATGTTTGCCAACTTAAAAACTCAACCACAAATGAAGCGAGCAGCAGTCATATTTTTTTTCAAATCTTGTGCATGTATTCATTTACAGTTTTAGACCCCAGAGGGTATATTATTTAATAAAAGACATATCTCAATAGTAAGCAGGTAATAAAATAGCCTCAAATGAGTTATGTACAGATTTGAGACACGTAGAAATCTACTGCTTTTGCCAATATACCATATTCTGTGAAAGTCATCTTGTTTTGCCGGGCCCCTTTTCGGATTGAGTTCACAGCCACTAGAAGAGTTGCTCCTTCAGATACTAATGAGCCTCCCAAAATGAAGAAAGCCTGAAATGAGATAAAGTTTACACACTGTGACATTTCATTCTAATTCTAACTGATCAACCGTGCACTGATGTGAATCTCCACATTTAACAACCTTACCCAGTAAAATGATTCCATTGGCATGGGATTGAGGAGGCCCGTTACTCCATGGTAGAAAGAGAGGCCTGTTCCAACACAGAAAATTCCAACACCTGAGATGAGGGATGCCACATACTTCATGTTACTGTATCCATAGGGATGATCTGAATCTGCCTGCTGCAATTAAGTAAAACAGTTATAAGTAAGAAAGCTATGCTAGTGGTAGCAGAAGCTCCTGGTAGGGTCACCCATGCTAGAAAGGTTGAAGGACAGCCAGAAGAAAGGCAGTCTCTGGTCCTTCCAGCTGAAGGGTGGGCACAGGGCTAACAATTTCACCTTGGAAAACAATGTGTCAAGAGACCTGAAGATAGATCGTTTAGTAAAATGACCAAGAGATGGTTACAAGGGCAATATCTTGCTACTTGAAATAAGATACATGACTCAACAGAATTCAAGAATTCATCTCATCTGATGCTCGAATGATATGTAACACAAATATGAAAATACAAATTCTTACTCAGGTGTGCACCCCTCTGGATTATCAGTGAGTGGACTATCCAGGTATGCTCATTAGCTGTGACATTCCATCTCAAGGTATAAATTTATTTAACGCACTCTTAAATCTCGTAAGTCGAGATAGCACAGTAAGTATAGCAACTGGCTATGGGCAAGATGACCGAGGGATCGGGGTTAGTCCCAGGAGGTTCAAGAATCTTCACTTCTCCGTGTTGTCCAGACCAGCACTGGGGTTCACCCAGTCTCATATCCAATGGGTATTTGGGGCTGATTCCCTGGGGGTAAAGCAGCCAGGTGAGAAGCTGACTGCTCACCTACAACTAGTGCCGAGGTCAAGAAAATGTGGGTCTATACATCCACTCCTCCACACGTCTTCATGGCGTAGTGCTTAATTGGTTGGGCACAGGGACAACTTTACCTTAAATCTCAGTTGCAAAACTGAGTTTCTATTCAAATTTTCATGATATTAATGCAACAATCAGAACAAATTAACATAAGTTTAAACAATCAATATACTGGACAGATTTTTTTATTTAACAACACCATCAGTAAGTAGAATATGTAGTATTAAATGTTGGGACAATTAATTAATGATGAATTGGAAATTATGTCGAAGGGAGCAGTTGTGGACCTATTTAAAGGTCCTATCACCACACATCACTGCCTCTGTGGTCTAGTGGTCAGAGATCCTGGCTACCGATCCAGAGGTCCCGGGTTGGATTCCCGCTGCTATCAGATTTTCTGTGAAGCAGTGGGTCTTGGAACGGGGTCCACTCAGCCTCGTGAGGATAAGTGAGGAGCTATTTCAAGGAAACAGTGGTTCCGGTCTAGAAAACCGAAATTAACAGCTGTGGAGATCCGTTGAGCTGACCCCGCGACACCCTCCATCCACTACAGTTGGCACTAACTTCGCCGATAAGCAGCATTCACTCTGTCAGTATAGTTTGCTTGCAGACTACAAGCCACGGTGTTTGATTTTATAACACAGCATATGTTGGAGCAACTGTGAAAAACCATAAAGAACCTCAGTTATAACAGTCACTGCCCCAGTCAAGATTTGAATTATGCACCTCTTGAATCCAAGTCAGAAACATTACTGCCTGAGTAACTAGCTCAGTTGACAGCATGGTTTTGGATTATTTAGTGATTCTGTTTCAACTGTAGAGGTTAATATGGGCTTAAATGAGATGGGGAAGTGATACTGAATGGTAATGATTGTAAAGAAACAGTCGTGGACCTCTTTCAAAGTGAAGCTTTGGCATTCAACTGGAGACTCGCTGGACCCCTCAGTTAAGATTGGCATTAACTCAAGACAAGATACAAACCATATACTTTCTGAATATAAGCCTAGAATGTTACTCGCATATCAGACTGACTGAATGTCTCAAGCATTTAGAATACCATGTCACTGTTGACAGAGGTTCTTACGTTGGTAACTGGCTTGTGACACTGGTAGAAGTCTACAAAAATTTCACTCTACTTGCTACCTTGCTTATTCTCTGATCCTAAAGCTGGAGACAGTATGTTCTTCCAAATATTGGTCAACTTCTACAACAGTAGACAGAAGATAAATACCACTTAGTAATTAATTAATATTTCATGATACTGAACAGTTTCCTCTACTTAGATAATTAATAACACTTACTTGTACAGACTTGTGTATGCCAAATGCTAGAATCAGCTGGTTGATAGTGTCAGCAAGGGAATGTATACTCTCAGAGAACATACTATGTGACCCAGTGTACAACCACGCAAATAGCTTGAACAGGAAATTGCTTCCATTGCTGCAAATACAACAAATTAAATTATTTTATTACAGGAAACAGAAGCATGAATTTAATGGTAGCCATCATCTGTGCTACTGGAAGTGCATAAAAAGTGGGGAAATGTAATTTCTTTGAGGATTATTTTATAGCTATGCTATATAGCATTCAATAGTGGAAAAATGGACAAACAATGAATTATAAAGGATCCAGAAGCAAGCAATCATTGCCTAACACAGGTACTATCCTAGTATGCGCCTGGAGAAACTTTTAAGATCCATTACCAGGAATTGACTAGTGAGAGCAGGCTGAGAAGACTTGAAGTGTGTTCTAGTGATTTGTAAAGTGCGAAAATCAAACGGTTATAATTAATTGCAGTTATGGTTTCTAAGAGTCCAGTAAAAATATTCACCAAACCAAACCCCATCTATAGTCACTAATACAACTGACAATACTATCATGCATTTGTACAGCTCATGTAATGTGAATCTTTTTTAAGGCTTCAATGTTGCTTGGTACAGTAGCCACACTGGTGTCATCATTCATGCACCTCCACAATGAGAAATGCAAGAGCATTAAGAGAGATCACCTGGACAGCCACAGGATTGGGCCACACAGCCAATAGACTTTCAGGGTAATGATCATCATGGATCTTGATTACTAGAGAGTGCACAACCAAGTAAGTACAAGAAAATTTGGAATACATGGTTTTATGTCAGCTACTTTTATAAATAGTTACACAATATAATTCTGAAGTTTATAACAATCCACTATAAATATATTATCGTATGGAAGAAGGGCTATATCAGTAAACATTAATTTTCAGGAAAAGAAGAAATAACTTCATACATTTATGCAGTAATGCATATTAACTGAATATCTCATTCTGTCAATGCATTATGATTTAGTGACACAACTTGGATCTCACTTCATCCCTCTGGTGACACACTTTTATCAATTCTGAATAATTTCTGATTCAGCCCTCATTCTGGTCACACCACAGAATTTTAAAAATAATTTACATATTAATTGTAGACAAATAATGTAGCAGCATGATTTTACATGGCAATAGCAGTCAGCACAACTCTTCCTGATGCTCCAAGAAGGCCAGACTCCTCTGAAACTTCCGCTTTGTAACCTTGTTCTCGTCGAAAATCCCTCAACCGTCTCTTCACAGTGAATATATCTGCTTTCGGACAAAAATACCAATATCAGTACTGAATTGGAAAGGATACAGAAGCAAGTGACTGTGGCCTTACTTAAGTTACTACCTGGAATTTATCTTAAAGAGCTGAGGAAAACAACGAATACTTCGACTAGTACTGTTATGGCTGGGATTCAAACTGTGTACCTTATGAATGTATGTCAGAAGCATTAGAGCTTGAATCAACTTGCTCAGTATTTAACAAAGCTGGCTACATGGATGTATAGCATGTAACGAGATCAAAATACTATCATGAATGGTAAGGAGTTAGTGGCCTCCGTAGTCTAGGGGTAACGTTCCCACCTCATGACTCAAGGTACGCGAGTTCAAACCCGGTGGAGGTCGTGGAATTTTTAAGGGCGGAAAAATTCAGGGAACAAGTCCTCTGGGAGGGACTTTAAGCCGTGGGTCCCGTGTCGTAGCTTTACGGCACGTAAAAGAACCTCATGTCTCAAGGAGACCTCTGAGCCAAATTTGTAAATACATTTCCCGCCCAACAATAGCCTCTAACGCATCTGGTAGATGGGGGAAGCATCTAGATACCACTGAGCCAGTAGAGGCCGAACTCGCTGGCTGAGTCGGGACTGATGGTACGTACCAGTATCAGTAGGATATAGAGACTGGTAGAATATCACAGGGGGATGTACAATAGATCAAACTGGTCGCGGTGCATGGGGAAACCCACCCCCTCCAATAATAATAATAATAATAATAATAAAAATGGTAGGGAGTTAAGAGTTTTGAAGGAGGTGAATTTGACCTTATTTTAATGCACCATCTCATTATTATCCTAGATATATATAAGGAAGGCAAAGAAACCCCCAGTTAGGACAGCTGGTAATTCAGGATTAGATCCATATTGGGTAAGTCCCATATATAAATGTAAAACATTATCATTCCATCAACCTAATTAACTTCACGGAGCTGAGCCCTTCTTGAGAAGCCACTGGTTGTGCAGCTATTCAAGAACTTCCCAGCATTTTATGGAAACTGAAAGTTCATTAACATGTTCATACGAGCCCTCCACTGGTCCCTATCCTGAGCCAGATAAATCAGCCCATACCACCCCAGCCTATCTCTCTAAGATCAATTTTAGTATTATCCACCCACCTATGTCTTGGTCGTCTTTGGTGCAACCACAACTGGCTCTTTCATCATGAAAATGCGCCTGCCCACACATCCCTGAATTCCACAGAGTTTGTGACTAACAACAACATGGTTATTCCCCATCCTCCCTACTCGCCAGACTTAGTCCCCTGTGCTTTGTCTCCCAAATTGAAAATGAAACTGAAGGGACAACATTTTGAAACAGTGTCTGACATCCAAAGGGAATCGTAAGCGGTACTCAACAGCATTAAGGGAAATGACTTCCACGATGGTTTTGAAGCATGAAAAAAACAATGGGATTGTGTATATGTTCCAAGGAGACTATTTTGAAGGAGATGGCAGCCAAAATTGAGTTAGTTAAGCCAGAATTTCTTTTTTAACCTAGTCCAGGAACTTTCCGATATACCATAGTAATGTGACGTGACAAAACAAAAAGCCCTCAAGTATGCATTACAGATCATATGAAAATAAGAAAAGTAACAAACAGGGGCAACTTTATGTGTGTGACAATCATCTTATGTATTTCCACACTAAAGGGTTCATAGGTACATACCGTTCTTCTTACCTCCTGGTTCAACTACAGACATAAGAACACAAAAGGAATTCTATATAATCATACTACAGGAAAGTAGATATAGGTAAATACAAATCTGAGATGAACATTCTTGCTGTCTAATGACAGATTTCTGCACATCAAAAGTTACTTATCAATAAGAAGTGATGTGAGCCTTCCTCACAGCCCCAGCACTATGTGACGGGCTTTCTTTTTATTGCTAGTGGGGTGGGACTAAGTCCATTGTACTGAGGCCACTTCTGGCCTATTGTACCGGCCCCAGATGATAGGTGAGGGGGTGATTGTGGAGCAATTGGTGGAATGAAGATTGGCAGGGGAAACCGAAGTACTCGGAGAAAACCTGCCCCAGCGCCATTTTGTCCACCACAAATCCCACTTGACCAGACTCCAGGATCGAACCCGGGCTGCCATGGTGGGAAGCCAGCGACTAAGCGCTTGAGCTATGGCACGGCCCGTGTGATGGGCCTGATGTGATATCTGTCATTGCATGCTTTTAGGTAATTTTTCCAATTCTTAGCTCATACACACTTTTAAGGTGACACAAATGACACTCATTTCATTTATGACATGGCATCTTAATTTGATTTTATGTATATCAGAGCTCAAAATAATTGGCAAGATAATTACGTTACATTCTCTGTAGCTATCCTTCTCTGGGTGATCACAGTTCTCAGAATTCAATGTGCTACTTAACCTTTATTGGCCAGATTTAAATCTGCAGCACTGGTGGTTCGATCAAAACTTGGTGGAAACAGTATTCATATTTAAGAAATGCTATGCTATGTCTGTTGGTTCCTGCTGAACTAGTGAATGCACTGTCAGAGTTCTGTGATGCAGGTATCATAAAGGTTAAGTAACAGCAAAATACATCTTAAAAAATGGAAGTCTTCGTGAATTTTTAATTACGAAGTGGCTCCAGATGATAATGCAGACAAAAGCTGTAATTGCTGGTGCCAGCCGATATCTCAGTTGGTGCCAACAGTTCACCACCTCTGATACAGCGTAAGTAATGCAAGTTATATGTCATTCATCTATAGTTCTTTAAAATTTTAAAAGAGGTGAATCCATATTGTAGAGTATTAAAATATTTCCATAAATAAAAGAGCAAACTTCCCCAATTGCTACACAATGATATCTTTATCATCATACAGACAAAATTTTGTACCACAATAACTTGTGTAATTACAATATGGAAAAACATATTGTTGTTAACCACATCAAGTTTTATAAGAAATCATAACATTAATATTCTGAGGAACAATGTAAATTTCCAAAGAAGGTAAACAATAAAACACTCACTCTGTTGGTAAGCTTTCCTCTTAGCATCTCTGATGAGGAGTTCCTTCAGCAAATTTTCACGGGATCCCCATACTTCTAGAGCCCTGACAGAGAGGGAGAGGGAAAAAAGAGTTATCTGAAACCTACACATAAGAAAAACTTTCTTCACAAAGAGTGCTACCTTCTGGCATGTGGCTGTGTAGTCCAGCAGAAGTTCACCAATATTTCAGAGCTCCTTCCCTCAGGCTGGAGGCTCTTCGTTCCTCTCAAATGTTGGTGAATTTCTACTACATGACATGGCACCATATACCCAAAAATAGCACTCTTCACATCCACTGCAGTGAGAACCCCAAACACAAAATCCCTTCTCAAAATTTAGATATTCAGAAACCCAGTGTTTTTAGTTTTAACATTGCGTTTCTTAAGTTCCCCCCCCCCCAAAAAAAGCAAGTAAAATGACACCAAACTCTAAAATATTGTATATTTTATATAACTCATAAAATGGACAATTTAAAACACATATGTGGTGTAATGAATTAACCTCTTATAATGTCCAATTGTTTGCTACAAAAATTTACTAAAATATGCCCATAAGCTTCACCATGTCTGTCCACCAATCCATCTGTCTGTTTGCGTGTAACAACTTAAGAACCAGTGACTGGATTTTCAAGATATTTTATACTAGGGAATTTCATTAAAATTTGTTGACAATCAAATCTGACAACAATAATGGACACTTTATATAAAGACCATGCAGTACTTTGGAAAATATAGCGTTTTAAAAACGAATGAATCATTTATAGTTGCCCTGTATGGTGTGAAAAAACCAGGGGCACCCAGTAGCGTAGTTGGTTGAGGGGCTAGGCTAGAAGCCGGAAAGTCACGGGTTCAAGTCCTGATGAGGTCATTGGATTTTTTCAGTTGACCTAACCCTTCTAGCTGCACTAGGCCCTGGGGTTTACTCAGCCTCTAACAGAGTACCAGGAATTAATTAAATAATTTTCCTGGGGAGTAAAGCGCGGCCGGTGCGTAAGGCTGACAACCTTACCGCCATCTTTGAGCCGATTGTCTAGATACTGTGGGACCCTCAACGTCTCACAACCCTATGGGACTTCACAGCCTGGTACAGGGATATCTTTACTTTTTACTTTTACTTTGTGCAGTCACTTACTTTGATTCAACATCTTTCCTCCAATATACTGTTATAGGTGGCTCACTCTCATAGGGTGAACGTCGTTTAGTTTTACGAAGTCCTTCCAGGTCAGAGGGCTTCAGAAGGAAGTCTGACATTGCACGGACTGGTGTGATGAAATTGCGTTCCATGGAAGATGCTGTAAGGTCCACTCGAATACGCTTCTTGCCTGGCATCACTAAAAGATCACAGAAAAGAAAACACTAATAACCAGACATCATACAATGCACCATATATGTGAATTCTGACAAGNGATAGGGTACTTTATATCTCCTACTTCTGTAGGAACGATGACCATGAAGGCCCATAGGGTTGTGAGACGTTGAGGGCCCCACACTATGTAGACAATCGGCTCAAAGATGGCGGTAAGGTTGTCAGCCTTACACGCCGGCTGTGCTTTACTCCCCAGGAAAATTATTTAATTAATTCCTGGTACTCATTTCTGTTAGAGGCTGAGTAAACCCCAGGGCCTAGTGCTGCTGGAAGGATTAGGTCAACTGAAAAAATCCAATGACCTCATCGGGACTTGAACCTACGACCTTCCGGCTTCTAACAGAAATGAGTACCAGGAATTAATTAAATAATTTTCCTGGGGAGTAAAGCACAGCCGGCGTGTAAGGCTGACAACCTTACCGCCATCTTTGAGCCGATTGTCTACATAGTGTGGGGCCCTCAACGTCTCACAACCCTATGGGCCTTCATGGTCATCGTTCCTACAGAAGTAGGAGATATAAAGTACCCTATCTGTGGGTGACAAATTGTTACACCCAAATTAAAATATGGCTGCCACTCCAGCAGTACTGGGTGATTTAAAATCCCTATTCCCAGATAACAATGACAATGCGGCTTTACTTATGGTTTATTTAAAAACAGTACTGGCCAATGCTTGGGTGATTACTAAATAGGAAGTTCTGGGAAGAAGTCATCACCTACAAGGACTGAATAGAAAACACCATGTCCAACAGTTCTTCTATTGTTGTGTGCCATGAGAATGCATTTACTGAGCCACTGACGGGCAAGGGGAGGGGAATTTTTTTATTGCTAGTGGGGTGGGACTAAGTCCCTTGCACTGCAGCCACTTCTGGCCTATTGTACCAGCTCCAGATGATAGGTGAGGGTGATTGTGGAGCAATTGGTGGAATGAAGATTGGCAGGGGAAACCGAAGTACTCAGAGAAAACCTACCCCACCATCAATTTGTCGACCACAAATCCCACTTGACGAAACCCAGGATTGAACCTGGGGCGCCACAGTGAGAAGGCAATGACTAACTGCTTGAGCTATGGCGCTAACACAGAAGGTGATACACAGACACACAGACAGCCAGGTGCTCTCATAAGCCTATGTTTATTCTTTCAATATATTGAAAAGTAGGCTAAAATGAATTGGGATGAATTCAGAAACAAGCAGTCATGGTCTAATTTGAGCCAGTATCCTGGAATTTGCCTGGCAGGATTGACAAAAACTGCAAAAATCCTGTGTCAGGATAGGTAGTTTCCCAGCTGAGAATTGAAAGTCACCATCTGAATAATGGTTAGAAGCATTACTACTTGAGCCAAATTGCTTAGTGACAAAAAGATAATGATTTCCTTTGCTTTTACGTGTAGTAAACAGCCAGGTCATCTCTCTTGTACTGATAATGATACCTTTACTAACAACTTCCTTCAGCACGCTTGTCTTTTTGCTTGGCTGCTCTGCCTCTGTCACCAGGCTCTTCTTCTCCACAATGACAACTTGTGGCAGTTCCTTATCAGTTGCTGACTTCTTTTCAACATGTGACACTTCACTGCCAATCTCTAAAGATTTCTTCTCTATTCGTTTTGTTCCACTTTTCTCTTCTTCCGCAGTCTTTGTCTCTGTCCCCAGTGGTGGATTACTGTTACTTGTGGCAAATAATCGTGACCACACAATGATATTCGCTGGTAGGCAGGACTGACGAACATAATGCCGGCCATCATGGCGTTCCACCATCAACTTGCCTTCATTGATCTGGCGTACCAAAACACTTAACTGTCGCTTCAAACAGCCTGTAACACAGCAGTAACAATATTATAAAAATGTTTGATTTTGGATGAAAATAATAAAAAATACTTTTACAGTGGGTAAATTTAGTCTTATAATGTACTGGGAAGACCAAGGCGTAGTTGGGTAGATAATATTAAAATGGATCTTAGAGATATAGGATGGGGAGGTATGGATTGGAGTGATCTGGCTCAGGATAGGGACCAGTGGAGGGCTCTTGTGAACACAGTAATGAGCCTTCAGGTTCACATAAAATGCTATGAATTCTTGAGTAGCTGCAGAATTGGCGGTTCTTCAAGAAGGGCTCAGTTCCAGGAGTAAGTAATGTAATTCTTTAAATTATATACTCATGCACCTGAGTCTAAAAAGTATTTTCCAAAATAAAGTTCATATTTCCCAAAAAATTAAGTAATCACATCTACTCTTTTACAAATCATGTAAAGGATTTTGGACGATCAAGTCGAGAAAACAGTTCAGACTTCAGGCAGGAAATGAACCCTGGCCACTGTGTGGTTTTAACAAGTAACCTGTAACATGGCACATAATCTGAGGGA